GGCAAATGGTGTAACGCCAGAAGCGGCCAGAAGGTGCGTGCGCGGAAGGCTGGCCTGGCAGCCGTTTTCCTCAGAAAGGGCTTTGGGATTCGTTGGAAGTCCTGCATGGAACAGCCCGCGGCATCGGCACGCTGACCCCGACAGTCAGAACTGGCCTACCGCTCACTGGCCGTGCAACAAAAGTACATCCAAGGCGGCACCTGCAAATCCAACGGACTGGAAATGGCTCTGCCAGGATAAAAAGTCCCTCCCGGCACGCAGAGTTGGAGTTGCAGTACCCGTTCAGTCTCACCTTCGGGTCACGACGTACAGCAGCGGTGTGCAGTCATGGTTTAGCTGTACTTTCCTGCTTCTTCCCTCGCTGATTTTGCACCGCGAAGGCGCAGGTTTTTCAGTCGTGGAGACGAGGAATTCACGTTTGTTTACAGGGTAGTGTGAAGTGTATGACAACGCACAGTATTACCTGGAGAAGAAACGCCTTCAACAATTCCTTACAACTTCGTTACAACTTAGTGCGGAGCTGTAGCAAATAAGTACGCATTTGAAACCGTATTTCATCGTTTATTGCTTTTTGACTAGAAACATCAAATCAATGGTATATGCACTAACACGAAGCTTAACGTTAGTTAAGGCTCAGTACTTCCATTACAGTGAAAACAACCAAGCCCAGTACAAAAACGGTCAAGAACAACCCCAGTCCTTATCTCAATCCGGCTGAACCACAGGTAGGAATTAGGTGTAGTTGTGAAACATCCCATCCCTTGACAAGTGAAGTGGTTTATCTGTCTGATCAGAACGAAGCATTTGCCATCTACTCAGAAAATTTCAGAACGTGCCAGGGACAGTAGGCCCATTTACCACGCTGCCCTTGCATCCTCCTAACATGGACAGGTTCCAACTGTGCTCGCAGCGTGGGAACGTGCCATGCTTTTACACCTGCAGCTGCACACGCTGTTCACAAGACCTTGCCCAGGCAATAGCAGAAAGCAAAAATTCCTAAGTACGTCTAATTCAGCCTTTTTGAATGAGACTGGCTGAAGTCCAGCACTAAACTAAAACCAGCCTTACTTTCAGTGCTGCCACTTTTTACCTGGGGGAGTGTTTCAGCTGTGTTGACCTCCTGTAAATGCAGACGCCCTGGTCTCCTCCTTCAAGTCTGTGCCGCGGCTAAGTGTACACTTACTTCTCAGCGACCACTGTCCTCTAACAAAGAAGACCTGCTTTCCATCCTGAGTGCGTTACCAACACCACCGCAGCGCTGAATTGAAGGAGGCGTCTAGTCCGTGCTCTGAAGCAGATGCGGAATCTGGAAGAAAGATTTGTCTGGGAAAGCACACGACTAATCAGTACAAATAAAATATTGGTCCATCTGGCCTACCGAAAGGATGCTGATTTTGGTCCTCTGGAGTTTTTTTTTTTTTCTATTTCAGTAGTACAGAAATAAATACCACGTTTTGAGTTGCCAAGTGCAATTCTCTAAAAGCTCAACAAACAAGACCGGAAAGGGAAATAAGCCATCCTCTTAATTTCATAAATAAGCTGTAAAGAAGAAAAGTAAGTAATTTACATTCCTTTTCAGGAACAAGTTCATCTTTAGGTACCGATTTTAATCTCAAACGTGTCTCGTACGAGATGTTTTTAGATAAAGAGCATACAGAAGCCCATCATTTTCAATGCTCCGTGACAGTCCGGCAGCAACCATGTTTTCTAGCTGATATATGCCAATAAATAGATTGCTATTGTTTCTGCCCCAAGAGAGTGAAGCACAGTAATGTTCTAGGAAACCTAAGTTACGCAAGCGCGGGGCACTTCCCGCTGCAGTTTTTGAAAAACATTAATCTCTTCTGAAGTTGCTGCCAAAACCCAAACCAATATAAACAGCTGCTTCAATGTTGAAAGGCCTTTAAATGAAAGTTCTTAGGTATGGTGTTAATTAAAATCTATCTCAGATGTACTGAAACTGTGTAACCCCTAATGACTTCACAGAATCACTAAGGTTCAGACCAGTAAGGACAAAAGAACACGCATTTATCCACGGCTGCTGCCTAACAAGAGCACGAACAAAGAAATCCGATACATTTTCTTCAGTAGCAACAGCTATTAAAGACACAGGGAAGAGTAACTACGTCTTAGTGACACTAGACTTTCTGTCCATTTCAATGGAATCTGGAGCAATAGGGCTGACACCAACTCCAAGGCTTGAGCGTCTCAAAGATAACTCCGAGGGAGGAATATGGCGTAGCTCTCGGCGAGACAGTTTCACTGGAGTCACTCCTTGAAACTGCGTTACGGCTTCTTTTCTCTGGATGACAGAAGGCAGCTGAGGATGAGATTTTGAATGCTGAGCTTCATCTGCTCCTGTCTTGTCATCACTGGCGCTCGACAAACATTCTTTGTTGCACCCAAGTTCTGAAACGTCTTCTCCAAGCCTGTGTGAATCCTGCTGTGCTGTTAACATACTTGGTCTGTCTGTTTCTTTTGTTTTCCCTGGTCGACTGTTGGTGTCAGTGTTAGGCGTCGACTTGAATTCTTCAGATGCAACTTCTGCTTCATCTTGAATGGATGCCTTATCACCAGCACTATTACCTAAAATGAAATTTATCAGGAGATAAGTAGCTAAAAGTTACAACTCCTCTGAGTGCCTGCCATCAAGAAATATTAGTCAGTGCAGTTTGACAGCATCAATAACCTGTAGCGTGAATGTGGTTAAAAAGAAGTATCAGCACCTCACATTTTGTCCTCTCTGTTAAAAAGTTTGTCTATAAAAAATCAGAGGTATTAGCTGTTACTTTCCTCTGGCTAGGTGCTGGTAGTACAAGTCTCACCGTTCTAACTTGCAGTGTCTGCTGACAGGCAGTCTTAAAACAACTGGGCCATGACAGTCAAATATGAAATTATTCGTATATTCAAAACAATCAGCAGTTACACTCGGAGAGCTCACAGAGCACATTCTGCAAATCTGACTGTAATGCACAGGCAGGGCTTTTATTGTTTTAAAGCTCAGCAAAAAAATACAAAGTGTTTATTACATTGTCTTGTAACATGCCTCAAGATGTATTTGAAAGCAAAATAACAAAATACAGGGTATTTCTCATAAAACTTACAAACACACCTATTTGATCACAAGGATCTTCTCCCTTCTCCTTGCTACAATTTGGCTAGGATGGGTTTCCCCACACACATACATGTCCTGAACGACATGCTGCTTTGTATACTAGGCACAGAATAGTCTTTCCCATGGTCCTTTATAATCCAGCCTCTGGAATATTCGTGCTCACATTTTGACAGTGTGCTTATGGCAATTAATGTGTTGGCTCATTATCCTGGCTGGAGGGCAAGACTAAGCTTTCATGCACTCACAGCCCACTGCTGAGCAGCAGGTATGCTATCAGCATCTATCCGTGAGGACGGCACGGCACGTGGGAGGAAGCATCCGTTGGGAGGAAAAGCCAACCATGCAGAGCCTTACGAAGAGGTGTGAGCCAAGCAAAATAGTGACAGAAACTGTACCTTCTTTCCTCCTCCACCTGAACAGCTCTATTGTATGTTTGGATTATGGCAAGAAGGATGTGGAACAATGGAACACTTAGAGTAGCAGTTAGTTATTGGTATTTTGTGTTTTCAAAGCACAGAATCACATTTGAAAGCTTTTTTTTTTCCCCCCAACAAACGTACAAATCCTCTCCAATAGCATTCAGTAAGTAACTAAAATAAGTTAGTAACTGGAAGTATGGAATTTTCACTGACAATCTGCCAGTAAGTGACTTTTATGAAACTAAGTGCTGGGAGCAGCCTATCTAAAAGCATGGCACATGACAAAGCCGTTCATTACAACGTCATTCAGACCCTTTCAGACAGTAAAATCCCTTCTTCTTAACTACAATAGTTGGAAGTTGCAGATGCTGAAATTATGTTAGAATACAGAGAAAACAGAACAAGAATTTAAACCACTGGTATACCACTGCTACAGCTACAAACCAATGCTGTCTCTCCTGTGAAACTGGGCAACAAGTGCAATATATTGCTGGAGAACCGTTAGTTCAGTAAAAATAGATTTTTTTAATGTCTGTCCGATATATTTCTGTGTGTCTACCACCCTTCAACTGGTCCATTGATAACAGCATAAATATTTTAAGATGATATACTTACATTTAGTGGATGCCAACAATTGATGGGATGACTCTCCTAAGAGGCCCTTCAATTTCTTCTTCAGCTCTCTGCTGGTTTTCTTATAGAAAAATAAGTCTTTTTCCAGTTTCTGGACTTGTACTTCATATCCTTTCAAGGTTTCTGCAATACCTTCACTATCTTGTTCTAGAACAAGTAAAACTAGTTAAGAACCGAGTATCTCTGTGCCACAAATTGGGACGCCCAGCTAGACAGAGCATGTCTTGTATCTTTCTGACATTTTGCCTGCAGGGCGTACATTTTAACTAGTGTAACACAAGATCAAAAAGGCCACGCCAACCCCGCTTGTCAGTTCTGATAGGAGTATTTAGAAGATCAAGATCAGCAGGGCCGGTATCTTTCAACTTTCCAATATTAGCAAATTCAGTATGAAAATACAGCAATTCTGACACTGCCATAAATAAACCATTTTCCATTCATACGGACACCATGTGTCTGTTCCTCACCATCCTACACAACACCAGAATTAGAGGCAGCCAAAATATACCTCTGAATCTTATTATTTTTATTTTTTTTTCAGTTGGAATATAGAAAATAATTCAGTTGGACTGAAGACGATACTGGCTGTACAATCCCCCTCCCCCAAGAAGCAAATACCTTCGAAATGGTGCAGTATTAACTGTAGCTTTTTCTCATGTTCTTTGTGTTGTAGGGTCAGCTGCCTGTCACACTGCAACTTGATGTGATCAAGCGCAGATTCCAATTCACGTATTACGTTTTCCTGGTCTACGACCTTCATTTGCTGTTCCTCAATCCGCAGCTGTAATCTACGTTCAGATTCACGTAGGCCAACAATCTAAGAAAGAAAGACACTTCTTTTGATTCATCAAACCATTTTCATAAAAGCTTTTACCCTGCTGCTTCATAGATTAAAGCGTACAAAAGCAGTGGCCTCTAAACCATAAGCTCGTGTCAGAAACAGGCTCACCTGCTGCTACAAGTTCACACTTCAGAAGTGAGCTCTGTACACTCTTGTCATGTGGACTAGTGGGGTTTTATTTTAATTTTTTTAATACCCTGTGCAGAATTTAAACTGAAAAAAACAGTGTTTTCCTGATTCTGGAAAAAATTCCAACTTGCACCCCACAGACAACCTGTTCACAAAATCACCCAAAGTTCACCCAAGGTCATAAAGACACACCATATCCCAGACCACTTCATTTTTATGTTTCCAGATGTCAGTGTGATTCTTCAGTATTTGTCTGTACACCCTGCAGGCCGTGTACGCAAAAAGAGTTCATACTGGACTTTGGAAGAAAACAGGACTACTAGCCTGGGCTTTATGAAGCCTGCAGTTGGGAAGTGTTGCTGCTCCAAAAGTTAGCATCACAAAGCACTGGAAAGGAGCAAGGAATCTTCCAAATTTGCAGCATCTTTTAAATTAACGCCCTCCCCCTCAAACAAGGTTATTGATATAGAAAGGTAACAGACAAGTATCCTATTTAGGTTAATGTAAAAATCAACAATAACTGAATTAATAGTAGATGTACGTAACCTGAAGAGTTTATGCCAAAAACTTGATAAATTTATCTTAATTCCTTGACGCCATTTAATTTAATTTCATTTCATTTCATTTCATTTCATTGAATAGTAACAGAAAATAGGATAAAATATTATTAATTATCCAAAACAAACCTTGTTGAAATATTTGAAGAGGATAGCTCTGAGCTCAGCAGCAGACAGGGAAACTAGTTTTCCTACCACATTATTCTCGCTCTGTGAAAGGATCTGAGAAGACGACCTAAGCAAGTGCTGGCGGTTCTGAATACTTTCATTCTTGTAATCAATAGCAGCCTCCAGGGCTTCTATTCCCTCTTCCAGCTGGAAAAGGACATGTTCTTCCTACAGAGAGACACGAGTGAGATCTTTAAAAAAAATAAGTGTAGAATACATAAGGCAAATGTTTTGGCACAAGAACAGAAGTCATGTTTCCCGTTTTACACTTCCCTCATCCTCCCCACAGTTTGACTTCTACTCTTATTTTTTTGGTGGTGATAGTTTTCTGTTGGATTAATGAATGAATCAGGTCAGTAAGTAGTTTGGTGAGCGTAACTTCCGTAGGAGAGCGGCAGAAATGCATGGCCCCAAGCACTGCAGATCATTTTGAGGAGTGAGGCAAGTGGGGTTCTTTCTGGCACGTTACCACCTCAGCCACATGCCCACACTGCTTCGCAAGACCTAAAAATAATCTGTGCGACGTGATATTGTATCTTCAGTGCAATTTTACTGATCAGCTCAAGTGTGGACCATTCATGTAACATGACTTATTTTTGCTGGAAAACTATGGAGGACTTCGGGTGAACTTGGCCTTTTCACAAAATCCTATGAAAAAAATCTGGGGACATCACTACATTAGTGCATTGCCTTGTTCTATGTCCTGGCACCAAAATATCTGCCTTTGGCAAACTGCCAGTCCCCCTGTGTCAGATTAAGTGAGCCTTAGGCCAGGGGAGTTTGTCAAGGCACTAGCTGAATTAAGTCCCCCTGAACATCAACTTTGTTCACTGGTATGTAAGCAGTGCTATCACAGCTGTATTTCAACCTTGCTGATCACAAAAGTACCCAACCTCGGTTCCTCGGCTCTAGCTTATCTAATATTTGGAGACATTTTAGGTTCTGATTGCAACGTTTTATTATACAACCTTAAACCTGTATTTATCTCAGAGGTGCGTACTTACTTCAGTTGACAAGACTTTACCACCTTTCAGCTTCTCATCCACACTACTTCTTCTTCTCAGAAGTTGATCCCTCTCCGTCTGAAGAACCTGAATTTTTTCCAAAATGTCCGTCTTATCGTCAGTGGTGCTGCCCTGAAGCTGCATACCTTTATCACACAGTTCCTTGTCCAGCATACTTAAGCGAGTAGACAATTTCATACTGTCTTTATTTAATGCCTAAAAAAACCACAGCAACCATAGATATAAAACTGAGATACTCCTTCCAGTCAGACCATCACATTCTGCAGTGAAAGACTTGCCTGCTGCTACTTTTTTGTAGTAGAAAGCTACTACAAAATTTACAATTTACCCAAAAGATGAAAGAAAACAAACATTGCTCAATGTGCGGTTTTCTACATACTACAGATTAAAGGGGCTAGTCATTATAAGTGACAGTGACACTTCAATTCCTATTCACTTTCTCTACTGAAAAATAAATAATGCAAAAGGTTTCCCTATCATGTTCCCTAGTTTTCAAAAGGACCAAGTCATTTTTATACACCATATTATTTAATTTAATTTAAATAATTTAATTATTTAGCAACAGACCGCCTCAGTTCAATATTTGTGTGTGCGTGTGTGGTTTGTATTGTTGGAATTTTGAGGAGAAAAAGTGAATAAAAATTATTATTCTGTGTTATCACACATTAAATGTTGATTTGCTCAAGCCACACACTAAGTTCATGGTAGAGGCAGAGGTCCCATGGCTTGAGCCTCTTCTGCGATCCATCTGCCTTCCCCTACCCAGTCTTTCAGCCAGCACTGTAACTGTGGTGAATGGTTTTTCTTAAATCACCTGGCTGGATCTCAGTTTCTTGATTTCCAGGTGGCTCTTCTCCTGCAACAGTGCTTCTTTTTTGGCTACAATGGCTTCTCTTTTCCTTAAGTCGTCTTCTAGTTCTGCTAACTGTTGGTGCTGTTGGAGAATTCTTTCCATTTCTTCATCCAGCCATTTCTTTTGCTCTTCTAATTTCTAAAGTTTAAACAGAGATCCAGACAGCATTAACCAGGACACTCTGGGTCACGATTTAATGGTTACATTTTTCCTTTTTCAGAATAACTGATAAAACTGTAGGATAAAACTGACATATCTAATGTTGACATTAATTCTGCAACAGAATCTTGACTCAGAATAACTCAGAAAATGGACTGACTTAAAAAGAGGCTCAGCAATGTTACATTGCTACACCTTGTATAAACAAATTTGTATCAGATGTCTTTAATGAAATGTATGCTTTTTCTAAGAACAGCTACATACATAGATGCCTTCTATATAATCACAGCAACTAGGTTTGGAAGGTACCCCAAGAATTCAGTCAGCCCATCCTCATTGCATTATAGTTGCCCAAGGACAGCTATTTGTGAAACAAACAAACAAACAAACCAAAACAAAAAACAACCAACCAAACAAAAAAAACCCCAAACATTAAGTGACAAGAAACTATGATGCACATATGAGAGCTCTGATCGTGCTAGCAGAGTCCATTATAAATTTATTCTGAAGCCACTGTTTTATTAGTGGATATATTCATGGTAAGGCTAAAAAGTTGCCTTTATTTAATTCTTAAAATTTCTTTTCACCTTTAAAAACTCATGAAACTCTCATGTTCCAGTGTACACATCTGAAATAATGCTGCACAGGACACCTGCTTTTCTAACCCTGTTAGGAACAACCAAAACCGTAGACATCTGTCACTTATATCAGAGGGGAAAACAAAAAAAACATAAACAAACCAAGGAATGTTTGTAACAGAGCTCATTAGGATCACCCTCAAACCTGCCAGACAACCAAACCCATTGAATCCTCAGGTCTCCTAATTAGCATCTTTCACAAATCACAGAAAGACATTAAAGCCTCTCAATTTCTTAATTCAAAAAGAGTACAAGAGCTGCTAGACTATACTCCCAATTTTTGCTACAGCAAAAAAGAATACAAAACTATGATGGAATACTCTTCTCCCAAACACTTTACAAAGATGAAGAAAGAAATTTTATTTTCTAGATGATCTTTAAGATGATCTTTTTCTAGATGATCTTTAAGGTCCCTTCCAACCCAAACCATTCTATGATTCTATGATTTTCAGGGCCCACACGGGTTTGGAACAGATTAGGTACCTGTAGCTTCTGTGAAGTTCCCACTGAGTTATTTTTCATCTTTTTAAATGCAGCAATCTCTTTATCCTTAAGTTGAAGGATCTTCTGTTGTTGCTCCATCTTCATTTGAAGTTCCTATAAAACAAAACAAAAATACCCTCCAAAAAATACCATTCTTCCTGCTTCAGTCCATCTGTTTTTAAAATGCATTTAATGTCAGTCCACACAAGTACATAATCTGAAATAACGACCCTAAATTTACATGTAAAATTGCAATTCAGGGCTAGATATCATGTAGTAAAACAAACAAACAAAGACACAAACCAACAAGCTGAAGACAAACTGAAGATTTCTGTGAAAAGGTTTATAGACAATTTCTTAGCTTTATTCATCAAGAAAGTAATTGCTTAAAACTATGTAAAGCCCGGCAGTATCGTTTAATGCCTTTGGGGGAGCAGGGGCAAAATTGGCTCATCTCATTTTTTGTCATAAAGAGATCAGAAGAATCCAACAAAGACACAAACCAACAAGCTGAAGACAAACTGAAGATTTCTGTGAAAAGGTTTATAGACAATTTCTTAGCTTTATTCATCAAGAAAGTAATTGCTTAAAACTATGTAAAGCCCGGCAGTATCGTTTAATGCCTTTGGGGGAGCAGGGGCAAAATTGGCTCATCTCATTTTTTGTCATAAAGAGATCAGAAGAATCCTGCCTTAATTTGTTGCTGCTCCTGCTTTGCTTCTAATTGCTTCTTTTTTTCGCTCTCCTCACACAGCCTTATCTGTAGCTGGGTCTGCTGGTGCTTCATCCGAGCCACACTCTGCTCAAGTTCTGTTGCTTGTCTCTCGCTCTGGTTAGATAACGAAGCCAGGCTTTTAGTGTCTTGCTGCTTCTTCTGTAAGGCCTGAATGTTCATGGCAAATTTCAGCTTAAGAGCAGTAATACTTACAACTAAAATATGACTCAGCTTCATTATTTAATTCACTGAATATTTCTTACAGTCAGCAAGACTTACTGACTTCTGCCCAAATAATCATTCGTTATTTCTGTGGTTTCTGAGCTGTCTGGTGAAGTTGGCAGAGGCAGAATTAATCTCAAGCAACATGAAAAGAGGAAGATAGAGTTCATGCCTGGCAATAGAATGAAAGTAGTAAAATCTAACAGAAATCACAGCTCTGGAAAATGTGCGGAGACATAGTGGTGACAGAATGCTGGTCCTGTGCTCGAGTCAATAAGCCAGCTACCTCTTTCTGTATGGTGCTTGTCTGACCCACCGTTTGAGGACCAAGAGGCACAGAGTATGGAAGCTGGCCCTACACAGAATTTAAACTCAGGCATAGCAGAACTTAAAAGCAGAAGGTCAGTGCCAAACAAATATGACTGTATTGGGTCAGGTCTTGCAAACCGTCACAGTTTGCTTAGAGTTTGCTTAGAGCTGGAATTTATACTGTATTTTCATAAAACATCGATTTTATTTATGGCAGGTAGTACATCTGTAATAGTCTCCTCGTGTAGGTTTTTTTATGGTACTGCATAGAATGGTGTGTGAGCATCTCACATCACCCACTTCTTTCTTGGTTTCTTATCTACCAAGAAAATACTGCACGTACATACCCACATATATGTTAAATAGCATTCTGAGTATAATAGTTTTAAGTTTCTCATTAGCTACTTCAATCCAACCCAACCATCTTCCCATGTGTAAAACTGGTGAGAGTTTTACAAGCAGGGTGTTAAGGTGATAGTGAGACAGAGATTTGCAAATTTTAATGGTCAGATCAGAAATACCTGCACTTTCAACTTAGCTGCATCCATCTTTTTCCGTAACTCTTTCCGTAACTTGGCTTTCTCAGGAATGTCTCTCAGCTCCTTACTCTCCAGCTCCTGAAGCCGCTTTTGTGTTTCAGCCAATTCCATTTTGGCCTGCTCAGATTCTTGTTCCAGTTTAGTTATCTTCAGAGAATATTGCCTCCTTACAGACTGAGCACCCTTACCTTAAAGACACCATATCCAAATAGTTTGAAACCAGCAGGATAATAAGTTGAAATTAATACTTAATTCTGTAGTTGAATCAGTACTTACTTCATTCTGGCTAAACCAATAATCTCTGAGACATTTTCCAAACCTAAAGGAACATACAGTTCCTTTCTAACTGTGAGATAAAGGAAGGAGGTTTAAATCTGAACTCTTCATGAGTCACCTGATGTCACCAAATAAAGTGGCATCTGAGTGCCAAACTAAGTGAAATTCCTCTGCCTACTGTAGTCTTTGCCAAAATGGGTCTCCGGTATTTCATAAATTTTGCTTTTTCCAGAAGAACACATTGTTTATTTATTACTCAACTTTCAGCTTAATAATCGGTAAACAACTTTGGATTGTGTTTCTACTCTCTGACTTGTCCTGTTTGGACAGTCTTTCCCAAAGTAGTATTCTGAGGGTACAGAATCTCAGTGTCGAAAGACAATCTCAGGAGAATGTAAGCACAGGAGAAGAGTGTGATTGAAGGGGCTGAGCAAAGAGATCCTTACTGTCATCATAAGGCTAATTTCTAGCAGGCATGTATGTACCAGGACAGATGTGTAAGGGATGTAGGCTAAAAGCGACACAGACCTTTTCCCTCATCCACTTCTGACACCTGCTTCTCTACTGCAGTGCTGGGAATGCTTACATTCCCAGTATAGTGATGTATCTTCTCTTCTATCCCAGACACCATGTGAGAAATACATGTCCACCAAGAGATCAGTAGCACTGAGCATACATGGAAAATTACACAATTGGTGGATAAAAGCAATGATCGGCAAAGCACAAAGAACATTTAACAAATGCATCTGTGTATCATAGCAGAGTAGGCTGTAATAAAAATTTACAGCCTTCAATCCAATAAAATCAAGTAATTAATGAAAGTTATGAATCTTTAACTTATAAATAATATTCTTGCTTAAGATTATCACATAAAAACTAAGACATATGTGACTTCAGAAATTTCGTGTTTTGTTTCTGAATCTCTTCATTCTAATTTTTCTTACAGCAGTCAGTTACCTGTTCTTACTAATTCCTTAATAAGTTCCTCTTTCATTTTGATATTAAGTGCAAGTTCTCTCATTTTTTGCTCGGCCTCAGTGAGTCTCAACTCTGAATTCTTTAACTTCTGCATGTTAAAATCATGGCTTTTCTGGAGGCTGTCAATCTCTTCACCTTGAAAGAAAACAAAGCAATATGGAGATAAAAAATCTGGAATACACTCTGTATCCAAAAGATAGTGGTCTGGAACATTGTACATGTGGAGTATTTCCATGTAAGTAAAAGAATCAAAAGGAGAGAATAGCACAGAGTCTTTTCCCTGCCAAGGTCTAAACAGGAAAAGAAAGGATGGAATGCACTAGCATTTCAAGAACCTAAGTGGGAGAAAAAATATTGCTGAAAGGATTTCAGTGCATCTCTGATAATAGCATTTATTTTCTTTCACTGAAGCAGTGCTAAAGATATATCTAAACAGTGATGTGCTTTCTGGATAGTGAATATTACGTAAACATTAAGGTCACTGACGTCAGTTTCATAAAGGAGAAGAGATTCTCTAAGGCCTATGTTGAATTGTAACAAAAAAATATCCGTATCAGATAGACTTATTTTGCTGGGAAAATAATTACGTGTGCTACAGACATTCTCGCATATTCTGATTCTGTAATAATATTTGCTCTCATGGCTTCCATTTTACCTGTGGTTGTGTCAGTCTCTAGTGCACACTTGTTGGATAAACCAGATTTGTCAGCTTGACACTTCATGTCACTCAGATCAGGAAGAAAGCACACAGAAGCCTGTTTTCGTGTCCATGTTCGGTTTATGGAATCCCTAAGTCAGAATGAAAAACATGCCACATTCCATACGTACAGGGATTTCTTTTTCTTTAAGCTTCATGCAAAGTACATGACCTTAACAGAGAAGGATCCCAAACTCACATCAGCATTTGTACCTCCTCTCTCACTTAATCCCCACTCCCTCAACCGCCTATCTTCATGGTAGAATCTGTCCCCAAAACAAGGATTATGCCTTCTTTATTAAATAAAAAAATAAAATGTTTATTAAACTTGTTTTGTAATGTCCCCAGTTGGTTCCACAAGTTTATCATAAGTAGCATCACAGAATGGACTCATATTATGGGAGGATTAGGCAATAATACTTTTTCTATGCATTTGTCTGTAACTAGAATTACAGAGTAACAAAAAACTTTACTTAAAGGCGGTTTTCTTTTTGCTGCCTGCATTTTCTTCCTCTTCGTCGCTTTCATCAGAAAGGTGGCAGTGAAGGACTTTATCCTGATCTTCTATGTTGCTCAGTATCATCTGGCTGCGAGCACGGAATTCTGCCATTACCTGGGCCAGGGAGAAGGCAGGGGGGCTGGTATACACCTGTCAAAAAGCGTAATTAAAAAAATGAGGGGTGAAAACACTTGCAACCATTTATCAGTTCTTTACTGATATTTTTTAATAAATATTTAAATTCAAAATCTATCACTTATAAGCAAAAATACAGAGGTTTTCTATAGTAACTCTGAATACCTTTGTAACAAAAGGTTTTGTGAGAGCTTAGAGCACTTGCTCCAAATGTGAAAGGCTCTGTTAGCAACTCATTACCCAGCGTATTCATGTGTTGGTAGGAATAATCAGTCATTTTTGATAATGCTTCATATTTGAACCCTCAAAAACCCCAGGAAAACACCACAAAAGACTACAGCTTTAGCACATGTAAGTGATAATTTTAAGCCTGAATATTTTGGAGAACTGTGGCATAGCATATGCTGCAAGACATTAAATATTAATGTTTCAGAGTCTTCAATGGGAAGCTAAACAGCATTTGAGAAAGTCACCACAGTTTGTCATGTCAGGCCTAATTATTGAACCGTAACGATTACAAAGTAAAGGGGAAAAAAGGTGACATTTGGGTAGACCTTACCTTTCGGGTCTGTGTCGCTGAAGGTGGGTGGAGGGCGTGTAGCAGACTCCTTGTGAGGGGGATGCTGTAAGGCCTCTTTGCAGGTGCCACAGCAGCTGGCCCATCTCCACATGTACTTGAGCAGTCCAAAGTTTTCACAACGGTAAACTTCTCTAGTTTTTCTTTTAGCTGATCAATAAGCATTTGCTGTTCCACCATTTTCTCGTTCTCGTGGGGAAAAAAAAAAAACCAAAGCAAACCAGTTGCTGATCGTGAGCTCTGTATCCTATTCACAATTTCTAAATTCCTTACAAAGGGCACAGACCTTGTAAGTCACTCACTGACCCGAAATTCTTCTGCAGTGCTCAGGCAACTTCTGCAACAAACTGAAAATTCTGTGACGTATCACACACACCCCAACTCCAATAAATTTTAGACACATTTTTGCTAGTTTGAAGGACTTTTCTGCTTCTCCTACAGCTTACCTAAACTGATTCATCCATGAGGCCAAGATTATATCCACTTTCAACCCCCTCTACTCCTTTTAATTCTTTTCAAAGTAGGTTTAAAATCTGGCCTAGCAAAAACAGGTAAGTTGAAGAATAGCTAGTGATCTAGTGACAGTCAGCTGAAGGTATTCAATGAAAGATATTTTGCCTTCTTCCACTTTGAATAATGCACCTTTATTCATTCTTTATATCCTGTTTTCTTAGACTGCAAGTTCCTTCCAAACACACACAGACTGCCTTGCAAATTGATATTTTGATGGAATAAAATACGTAAAATTCCTGTGTCATAGGAAGTAGCGTACATATAGGACACCATACTTGTTATGATTTTAGAAGCACTAAAGGCCAACTGATCCACCTTTAAGCTATTATTTAACTCTGTTAAGACTTTTTGTCCCTGGTACCCTTGTACATAAAATCCCACAGTGTACCGTCTTACATAAATACAGGGGTATAAACATTTAATATTAAAGTTCTTATTCTGTCATGTATCACTAAATGACATATTCCTGTGAATATAACAAAATATTGACAGAAGAGTTTGCTTTTCATTATCTTACCTATTTTAAATGTGGCATTTTTTTAAAACTACAGTGGCAGTTCAGTGGCTTAAGTGGCAAAACGGTGCCTGAGGGTTCTCAAGCTTCTCTATACCCTCTGATAATGAAACAATCATGATCTTTTACCCACACTGTGACTGCTTCTGTTCATAACCTCTGCCTTGTATCCTCCAGAATTTATATAAGCATTATCTCAGTGTAATAGGTTGACACTATGCTGTATAGGTATAAAAAAAAAAACAAAACCAAACCCAAACCAATCTAGCCAGAGGTGACAGTAAAGAAAGAAAGTGACAGAGGGAAGAAAACGATGATGACTAGTATACTTACCTTTCACTCACTGACTCTCCCCAAGCCACCAGCAAAGAAGAGGAAAAAGGAGAAAAAGTAGAATAAGGAGAAGAGTACTAACTAGCCATGCTTATGCTTTTCTCTTTTAAAAAGTCAGAAAATAATTTATCTATCATCCATGAGACAGGCAACACCAGGAGGATATTAACTGTTCTATTGATGGTCTCCTGGATCTTGAAATGCTGTACACTTACTACCCACCATAATTTTATTAGCAAGATCTAGAGAAGGAAGGAGGCAAGCAGTGTTTCCACTATGTCACTCAGCTTTCTCTAATTGTAAATGGTCACAACATTAGAATTAAATTCTGTCTTATAAAGTCAAAAGGGAACAATACTCTAATTCTTAATAAAGCTATAACAAAATACATTTCTATAGAACCTTTCAATTAAAGCATTCTATAGGACCTTATCATTTTTTTTACATTCTAAAAAATCTTTAAAGACCTTTCAAATCCTAATTCATTAATCGTCCCGAAACTACTTAGCAATAACACACGTCTGGGGAGAGGGGGATGTGTTGTGCTTCAGGAAGCAAGGAGAGGGTGAATGATTCACCTCATGTTACACAGGAAGGCCATGGCACAACTAGGCTGATATACAAACTTCAAGAACCACACCGTGGTGCTTCATCCACTAGATAAACTCAACCCATTAAGTGATACAGCTCTAATTCAAACAAAAAGCCCATAAGACTGACAGGTAGTTATGTCCAAGAAAGTCCTGAGGGAACTGTCTTGCAATAATGACTGCATTAATGCAGTAGAAGGATTGTTCGATACCGACATATGTAATGTGTACCAGAGGAAAAAATACCTGTAATCTATGTGTGTCTTGTGCCTCCTTTAAAGATTCCAGTTGTTTTTCATTTTCCTGTAGTAATGTCTTTATCTGATTCTGCACTGTCTGCAGTTCACGATCCTTCTGGCTAAATATTTCTTCATCCATAACTAGTGCCTGCTAAGTAACAAAAGAAAAAGTTCAGCTGGGGAAAAGGGAACATTACTATTTCTATGGTTGGAAAATAGAATCTTAAAAAACCCAAAAAAAACCCCAAACAACAACACAAAAAACCCACAAGACCCTCCTTTGCTTATAAAAGGTATGATCAGAACTGCACAGAATTGAAGTATGTATGGCAAATTGTCTAAGTGGTTATCTGTGGTCTCCACGAGTTATTTCTTCACTCCTGTTTCACCGATTGATTTTCTTCTGAGGAGTTTCTTCCTTCCAAACGGAATAATGTGCTGTCGTGGTTTAACTCC